CCCCCCCCCCCACCCCCCCCCCCACCCCCACCCCCACCCCCACCCCCACCCCCACCCCCACCCCCACCCCCACCCCCCCCCCCACCCCCACCCCCACCACCACCACCACCACCACCACCACCCACCCCCACCGCCGCCGCCGCCGCCGCCGCCACCGCCACCGCCACCGCCACCACACACACACACACACAAACACAGGCGAGCCAACTGTGCTTCGTCATATCCGCAAACTGTGAGCCGGAAAGGCGAAGCCTTAGATCAACGTAAACCCTAAACCCCCAAACCCCTAACTTCTAAACCTGAAATACTTGTTCGCCAAGATGTACGGTTGGGGGTGTGGTGTGCAGTGTTCAGGCAGGCACTGTCTACAAGGGTCGTTCTGTTTGATCCCCACTGCAGAGGGGAGCGGGTTTACTAACCAGGGGTCTACATCATGATGCACTTCGTCTGAATCCCTAAACCCTAAGTTCCCGTAGCCTAGACCCTAAACCCTGAACCCTCAACCCAAGCCCGGAAAGCTACCCAAGACCCTCTTGTGATGATAGTAAAAACGGAGTTCCATATAGTCTCCATGATATTTTAAAAACCAAGCTTCACATGTTTAGGCTTTTGGGGGGTTGAGGGTTTGGGGTTTTGGTCTCCGCACAGAGTCCTGAAACACCGAGGGCTTTGCATCTTTAAGCAACGAGGCTTTGGTTTTTCTACACTATCAGCCACGACTCTCTGGTTCTTAGTAGGGAATGGGCGAATGGATCCCTAGGATAGTCCCTTAAGGTCCCCTATAGTAGTCCCAATGACCCATTCCTCCATTCCCTTACTAAGAACACCCTAAACCCTAAACCCCTAAAACCTATACCCTAAACCCTACAACCCAAAAACCCTAACCAATTCCCTCATTCCCGACTAAGAACCACTGAGACGAAAGGTGCCTGGCACCAACCCGGGAGCTGGCAACACAGATCGATGCTGAGTGCAAGCGATTCGCTCCGGTGCCGGGGGAAAGGGGGGGGGGAAGGGGGGTGGTAAGGGCTTTAGGGATTGTGCTCCATGTTTTTTGGGCCTTCTGCGATGTCAACATGATGTTTAGAATGTAGTTTGTGTATGGGGCTCTGAAATTATGCAGGGTCTAGCCGTCCACTTCCATTTCTACTGCTATTGCCACCACTACTGCCACTGCTACTGCGACGTAGAGGCTTATGCTCCTGCTATACAAGCCGCCCAGAAGGCATCAATGAAGGGTTGAGTTTTTTGAGGGTTTATTAGGGTTTTGGTATGCGCCGCTCGCAAGCTTGTAGACAGCAACACCCAAGCGGATTGTATTCGTCCGGAACGACGTGGCAAGCCGGCATCAACTTGTCACATGCATCCTGCCGCTGTGTTGAATAGCTCCGACAATCCATGCCAGTACAACTCATCTCTTTTCCATTCTGCTAGGCCACACAGATATCCCGATATCCCTGTTGTGCCAGTTTTGCACTCGAGAAATTAAATCTATTCATGTCCGTACACATCTCGGCAACCGTCCCACAAACCGTAAGCCCGAGCTGAAAGGATTACCGGCATGGTGACTTTAGGACCCTATACATAACTTAAGCCCTAAACTTAAACTCCCATGCGAAGATGCTTCATGTCTGGGGAGCATCCGGAGAGGAATTGGCCAAGCTGCCCAAAGAGGATGTGGTAGACCTCCGAGCCTTAAAGCAAGAGCTGCAAAAGACTTGTGGCCTGTCACGGTTTAGGCAGATGCTTCTCTATGGCAGCCGGGTGGTAGATGAGATCCCGACGCAGGATGCACCTCTCGACCTGCAGCTGGTCCTTCTTCCGTTCCCGCCAGCATCACAGGAGAAGGTGGATGAGCTCCTCCGTGCTGCAGCAAGCGGTGCGGCGTGCTTGGTGGAGGAGATTTTAATGAGGCCACAAGATCCCAACTTGCCGGAGCACATGGAGGCAATTACCCCACTTTACGAATCAAGCTACTGGGGTCATCTTGAAATCGTGCGCCTACTGCTAGAGGCTATGGCAGTGCCCAACCTGGCGACCGACAGCGGAACTCCCCTACTTGCAGCGTCTCTCCATGGCCACGTGGAAAGCATGCGCTTGCTCTTGGAAGCCCGGGCTGACGTGCATCGTGGAAACTCCGAGGGCAAGACGCCCCTCTGGGCAGCAGCACGATCTGGTGACGTAGAGTCGGTTCAGCTGCTTCTGGAGAAGGGGGCCCAGAAAGAGCAGGTTGCTCAAAGTTTCAAGGCCTGGCAAGACTGGGAGCGGGAAACAACGGCTCTAGCTGCAGCTGCCGGCAACGGCCATGTGAGCGTGGTGCAGGTGCTCCTTGGTGCCGCCGCCGACGTCGGTGTCCAAAATGCTTTTGGCTTCACGCCCCTGGAGCTGGCCTCGCGAGCAGGCCATGCAGAAGTAGTTCGTTTGCTCCTAGAACATGCCACTGCGACCGGCAGGGTTTTGAGGTGCAACGTTGCTCTTCGCCTTGCTGCCCAGAAGGGTCATGCTGGGGTGGTGGGCCTCTTGATTCAGGCAAAGGCAGACAAGGACGACGTGGATCAGGAGGGCTCCGCTCTCTGCGTGGCATCTTTGGCTGGGAAGGCAGGAGTTGTGAGGCAGCTTCTTGAGCTCAGGGCTGACCATCGTCTTTCAAACTCCCGTGGCGCCACTCCTCTCTGGAATGCGGCCTTCCAGGGCTTCGCGGACATAGTAAGCATGCTCCTAGCCGCCAGGGCTGACATGGAGCACGCAGACCACGAAGGCGCGACACCTGTTTGGATCGCAGCCTTCACCGGCCATTTGCCAATTCTCCGACTCTTCTGTGAGGCCGGCACCGATGTAAATCGGGCCTCTGCAGTGCTCAACTCTAGTCCAGGATTATCGAGATTGCCTGCTGAGGCTGGAGAATAGTACTAGCATGTACAAACCAAACCTAATCATAATGGTATTTTCAGAAATAAGAGCAAGAATCGCTGTAGTAGCAATATAGCCCTAAGCCCTAAACCCTAAACCCCAAAAGAATAAGCGTCCAGCCCTCGCGTGCGAGCTCAGAGCGAGTCATCTCGGACAGATTATTGACCGCTGACAAAGGTGACCTCAACATAGGAGTTTCCCAAAGGGCCCTATGTATTGTAGTGGGGGATGCTTCCCTAAATCACAGTTGCAGTTCCTAATCTGGAAACCCTGCCTTGATATATATATATATATATCTTGGTACATAGGACCCATTGGGTTTGAGTGAGTGAAGATGCGCCCTTCAACCCTAATCAAGCCTCAACCGTAGTACCAGGGCTAAGAGAAGTGTGAGGCTCCAACGCTTAAGCCACTCTGATTGGAAATGGCCTTGTGGTATCCAAAGGTACTACTGTTGATGATATAAATCCTGCATTACCTTAAGGACCCTAAACTATGGGAATTATGGCATATTCCTTATTATGGGTCATGCAGGATTTATAGCATCAACCGTAGTGAGGTGACACGAATAACCACAGCTCCATAGGCTGCCTGCTCACATTGCAACCTTGCTGACTCACCCGGAGCTTGATTCGGTCGATACTTGATGTGGCTTCCTTATAACCGGACATATGAATCCAAGCTTTGTTATTTGTTTCGGGCCTTATGGTTCTACGTAAAACTGCTTCCATGAGTCTCTTGGTTCCACCTGTGCGACAAATGGGGCTTCTCCCTGGTTCCACCTCTACCTTTGTGCTCTGTTCTACTGGTCTCATAGCAAGCGCAATATCAGGCCAAGCATAAGCCATCATCTGAAAAATACAGTCATACCTCATCTTTATCCCCAAATGGCACAAAGGCTTCGATGCCGCACACATGAGGTTGTTGGGGTTAAATGCATGCAGTGCCGGGGTGGCGAATCTAAGCCCCTTACCATTGACTCATCATCCCAATTATTATCTTCTATATCCCTAAACCACAAAACCCCAAACCCTCAACGCCTATACTAATTTGCAAACCCCAAACTCCGAATGCGCCTTACACGAGCACTGAACCCTGAAACCCTAAACTCTAAACTCCTCAACGACAGGCCAAGGTGCGATCTATGGCCGTGTTCGGGGGCACCCCCAAGGGCCCACAAGGAAAGGCCTTGAAAAATGCCGTCCCACAGGCGAGGCTGCTCTGCTTGTTTTGGAGAAATTTTGAAGGTCTCATAGCCATATAAAACGAGTGGAAGATTAAGCGAAAGGTAGAATACAGGAGTATAGGACGGGTACCGTTCATAGCTCGCACGTCAATGGCCAGGTACTGCTGGATTCTTCAGGATGAGGGCTTAGGGTACAGGCGTCTGGCCTTGTTACACAACTTTACCCCATTTTCTCTGTTGCTCCATAAGTTGTTGCGGTTTCAAGTCAGATCGCCGCACCATAATCTCTGGATCCTAGATCAAGACCCAAATCCCAATCCGCTGCAGATGTCATTCTGCATCGAGAAGCACATGCCACAACCCCAGGCCAACCCCTCACCCCGGACTGCAAAATCTTGCTTTTCCCGAAATCAACCATACAACTCCTCTTAACTTGCCTGTAACTACCACAATATGCCTACTTCAATCCAGCATTATCTCCATGGGGCCTAGATCACCAGCTTCCGCCAAACCCTACTCCAGCCCTGCCTCCTGGGGCCCTAGAAGCAGACCAGAGACGGTATAGGGTTTGGGGTTTATGGCTGATTTAGGGTTTAGGTTTTAAGTTTAGGGTTTAGGGTTTATATAGGGTTTGAACATCGCAAAGCGCGATTGTGGCGCAGAGTTTTAGGCCACTTTGCATCGGAGTCCCCCTCAGAAGCGAATTCCCGAAATCCTGATGCCTCAGCTCCCCAAACCCCAAGAACACCCAAAACCAAAGCTAAGCCTAATGGTCGACGTGCCGAAATAGTATATACTTAGGCTTGAAACCAATCCCTCTATGGTATTTTAGGGCCAAAGTATCTATACTCCATGGGTACATGGACCCTTAGGGTAAGCCAAGCTTCATCAGGTGTTGGTTGCAACGCCGGGGCGGCTTCAAGACTTCATGGGCTCGGGGGAGGCAGACTCCTGCTCGTCTAATTTTTCTGATATTGCCAATACAATTTGGGGGTTCCTCATTATGTTTCTGGTAAACTATGCCATAACTTACCCAAAGTACAATTCCAATACTTAAGGCCCCGAGTTTGTAAGGTTCAAGGCTTGGGGTAGTCGGGAACCCACCACTGGGTACACCAGGACCAGCACCTCTGCTTCAATAGAGGCCTTGCGGCAGTCGATAGTGGGTACCTAGATCTTCCAACATCCCTTAACTAAGTGTACCGTAAGTTTTTGTAGGATCCCCAATGTGATTTAAGGTATATTCTTTATTAGGGGATATTGGAAGGTCTGGGTATGTAGGTTACAGTGGAGGCAGCTGGGGGAATCTAGGTCGGCTTGAGGAGGACGAGGAGGAGTTTGGGATTTCGTGCTTCAGGGTGTTGTGGTTCAGGGCTTCAGCGTTTGCTTTCGACGCAGAGTTCTGCGTTTTCAGGGGTGTGTGAAGTATCTTCTTATCCCAGGACCTTATAACATCACATATAAGCATAAAGCATCACAAAGCCGTAGTCTCTACATGTGTGAGGGTAGGGTTGAGGTTTAGGAATTTAGTTTTTGTGTTTTCGTGGGCGTTGAGGCTGAGAGTCTATAGGCTGTTAGGGTTTCGGATTGTTTCGTTGCCTGCACCTAAACCCTAAACCCACGATTCTGGTAGATTTCCAGCCTGATGGCCTCTGTTTCGGGTTATGCCTGCACTGCGCACTCAATATAGGAAGCCGAAGCCTAAAGCCCAAATTATTCCTTGGGGCTCCCTTCTTACAATTATGGCAGTATACTATACTTCTGTTGATGATAGAAAAACCTGCATTAACTTAAGGACCCTATACTATGGGAGTTATGGTATATATTCCTTATTATGGGTAGTGTAAGATTATTATCATCAACCGTATAAAGGAACCCACAACCCCATTCTAATCCCCAAGGCCCCTACATATAGAATCCTATTATGGATCCCAAGAAGCTCCGAAAGGTTCGTTAGAGTTCCGTAGGGTTTAAGGTTTAGGGTTTAGGGTTTAAGGTTCAAGGCTTTGGAAAAGCAGAGTAGAAAGGCGCAGACCCTCTGAACCCAGCGCCCTCTGTGAACCTCAAACCTAAACCCTAAAAACCTGAAAAGCCATAGTCCCTAAACCCTACACCCTAAACCTAAATCTCATCCTGGTAAGGACTTCTACTCTGTACGCAGGTGGAAAAGGGCTCCTACAAAAAAAAAAACCTAAATCTCAAACCCGAAGCCCTAGACCATCCTACTTAGAACCTTCGCTTCAAAAAACCTCTCAGCCCTAAATCAGGTCTCCTTGGGCCAAGTCCAGCTGCTGGTCTTGGATGAGGCAGCCCGGTGGAGACTGAGGATTGCAGGTTTTAGGGTTTTGGCTTTTCGGGGTTCGTTCCTCCGCAGGTTCTAGGAGGATCCTGCAAGGTGCGTGCGGTTCCCACACCCCAAAGTAAAGTCAGATCTTTCTTGTCGGACTGGTTTGTCAACAAAACATCACTGCATTGTGGCTGGTGTGGTATTCGAGGTTTGACGCACGGAAGCTCAATTTGTCATTTTTACCGTTTCAATGGCGGTGGATTCAGCCCAGCATAAAACAGGGGCCTAAATAATTACCTATACTATTTTGAGGGTTCCTTATTCTGAATTTAGTATAATACACCCCAAAACCCTATTGTACTGATTAAGGGCCCTGTATTGTCCCCGAAATGCGAGCCTTCCATCACGCAAGCAGACAACGAAGCTTTATACCTCGCTCGAACCCTGCTCGAATTGTCGAATTGTCAAGCACCGTAAAGTTATTAGTAGCTAGCCATCCATAGCAATTCTAAAGGGGCTTTGATGTGGCTTAAGCCGTGTGGTGTCGGAGATGGGGGGGCTGGTTCCTACTGTTGATGATAGAAACCCAGCATTACCTTAAGGACCCTATACTATAGGGATTGTGGTAAGGTCCTTATTCTGAGCAATGCAGGATTTATATCATCAACCGTAGTTCGTCACCATATACACTGCAGGGTTAGTGTTTTGCCCCACACTCTTGCGCATTCAGCCCTAAATCCACACCTAGATCACCTTGGTTTGAGAAATGAAGATAGCTATTTTGAGGGTTTTTGGCAGTTGAACTAGAATTATTCGGTATCTGCGTATGCATGGGTTACCGATTTTCAATACTTGTGTAAGACTGAGTTTGGCAGTAGCGAGCACCTTAGGTTTGAAGGCCTAGAGGCCCAAAGACCATAATGTATACACCCTTCATTGACAAACGCCCTTTCGTCAAAGGCGCTAGCATTAGGATCCCTAATGTAGTCCTTGTGAAAGTGAGAGGGTATACTCAGAGGTGTACATTGCTACATATGAGGCCTTTAGGTTTAGGCTATGCCGAGCCTGAAGGCAAGGGTCCAAAGTAGCCCGTCGTGAGGTATTTAGTTTCAGGACAGTCATATTTCAGGTTTCGCACATGACTACACATCTAGCGAAGTGCATGATTATTAGGTGCGTGGACCCGTGCAGTTTACAGCGCAGTTTAAGGGCTCGACATGTCTGGTTTAGTGGCTAAGGGTTGCAGGTCCAGGGGTTCAGGGTTTAGGATATAGGGTCCAGGGTTGAGGGTTTATAGGGTTTAGGGTTAGATTCTTGCAGGCACTGCCTCGATGCTTTCACGCAACAGTGCG